TAATTTGTTCCCAGATTTTGTGGGAAAAGGGAGTCTAGATGAGATTATCTAGCACCCTATCCGTTAGTCTAGAGCAAAAACTGACAAAATGTGGATCAAAATTCTCCAAATTGACAACTTCTCTGTATTCTTTTGTTTTATAAACAGAGAACATTAAGCTATTAATATACATAACCAAAAATAATGTGTCTACCTAAGGAAAACGCTAAACAATATCCATTTGTAGTATAAGTGCTGGAAAGAATTAATGCAACTTCAAAATAATAATGAACGTTAGTGCTCAGTAGCTGGAGTCACCTGAGAAGTTTTTACCCAAAAAAAGTCAGGAAGCTCTGCATTTTTTAGCAGATAAGTTGACATAAGTTAGTAAGAGTTGATGCTTAATTATGTTAATTATAGTATCAGTTGCCATGGTGAAATGTTTCTGTTGTCCTGAGGAAACTGCATGCTATAGTGTTTAACATTAGGAAGAGGAGCCAGGGACATGTATTGTAGGGCTGGACATAGTGTGCTGCTCTGTTGGCACAAGGATTCATGTTGATGTGGTAAATTAGTAATCTGTATTTCCCACCTTTCACCAGGCTTAATTTCTAGGAAGTATCTCCTGTTAGCTTGTACAGCTGCTTCAAATGGACTTGAACATTGTTACTTCTCAGTAACTGACACTTAATATAAACATGTTAAATTTTTATTAGGATATGCTATATAACAAAGTACTTTGCTATTAGCTTAAGTTATTTGGCTTTTATTTGGGCAAATGAGTTGTCCCATTTTTCCCAGGTTGATACTTTGCAACAAATAAGAATCAGTTAGGAAAGCAATGATGAATGGAAGTGAAGCAGTACTAAGAGGGTGAGTCTGTTACGAGTTACTGTAAACCATGATGAAAAGGATGGGAAAGTACCTATGGCATGGATGGTCAAGAGAGATGATTGGGAATGGGAGTTCTGTTTCTCCATAGTCCAAGTGGGATTGTGGGGAAGTGTGCACTTTGGGAATTAGGGCAGATGCACATTTGTGAGGAATGGGCATGGACTGGGGGGTCTGCTTGGGAACACATACTTTTGCTAGAGTTTAATAAGATCAGTTCAGAACAGTGCTGAGTTGAGAAAGTGTGTGATCCTTTCATTGCTGCTTTGAGCTGCCAAAGCATTGGTCAGAAGTTGCTTCTTGAAAGCAGAAATGTCGAAGGGGCAGGGTTAGCTGGAAACAACAAGGAACAGCACGCTGCAAAACAGTGGTTTGAGTAAAGGAGACAATGTTCTCATGCTCAAATTTCTGTAGGCTGTAGGGAATGAAAGTACAGAGACTCCAAGTATGGTTTACATCTATATTTCCTTCAGTTTCTCTCAAACTTTTTATTTGTATTTTCTCATCATCTTGAAACATGCTCTGTGCTGTGTGATGGCTATTTTACCATCAGAACCAAATTCTCTTCTGTGATTGTGCCATGAAGGCATGCAAATAATCCCTAAAAGCTGCTGCTACTTTTAGGATTGTAGTTCTTTCATATGTTTTCTTTACTTTAGAACTTCTGGAAATAGAGAACAATAATTTTCTGGCATTATGAAGGCTGAGTGATGTTTAACCACACAATAGGACAGATTTGTAATAACTCTGGTTTGTGTTCTCTCACTAAATGGAGAAGCAAGTTAGTAGCTTCCTGAAGTTCTGGTAAGCAGCAGTACGTGCAATGCCAGTGTACCTAAAACGATAGTTCAGTAAAAGCTCTGCTAATGATACTTGATGTATTATGTACATACATTAATGCCTTGTTTTAAATACAGGTTTAAAAAACGAATGCTGATAGAACAGCTGGAGAGTTTTCTGGAGGAAATCCATCGCAGATCCAATCAGGTCAACCATATCAACAGCAGCTAAGGAACTGCACACCAGAGCCACAGCAGGGCACTGCTGTCCTTACTTGCATTCATTTTTGACATGCACTCTTATCTCAAGTTCTGTATATGAAAGAATGAGAAGCTGCTCTATAAAAATATGAGAAAAGCATCCATCATCTTTTTTTCTTCCTTTCTGTTATTTTGTAATGTGAAAAATATCACTAAAACATTTTTATTTAACTAAATGGAGAACTCCTTGTCTGTCCATGGACTTAAGTGTCACTTTCCCTCAGGTTCTATTTTCTTATTCTAACCTTCAAAACTATCACCTCTTAAGGTTGAACTTTGCCAAAAAGTTGATTTGTAATTTTCAGAAAAAAAAGCACATACATAAAACAAGGTAATGTTTTGTATATACAGTTATTTTGGATATATTATTGTAAGTTGTATAAATGTATTTTGAGAAATATTTAAGAAAAGCACTTTTGTTATTCCATCAATAAAAGCTCTATTTTAATGTTTGTGTGGGATTGAGTTCAGTTTATACTGGAATGGTTCATTTTGCCTTGCTTTTATGGAAATTCTATTTTTCAGTATTAGCTCTACTGAATGATGAGCAGTTTGTGTCACTGAATATTCCGTTCTTCATTAAGAGCTATTGAATGAAAGCAGAATTGTGACTATAGGAGGATGAACAGTCCAGCATCACTTTATTGGCCCTATCTTTCATCTTTGCTAGATGCTCCTAACTTTTTTCTTGTGGAACATTCCCTTTTAGATCATTCGCATTCTGAATGGGTCCGGCTGATTAGCCCAGCACCTGCCAACAAGATTATGTCAAACAGAAGCTATGGCCCAGGTTCTTAAATGGTTCAGTGGCAAAATCTGTTGTTTTTCCTCTAAGGTGTATGTTTAGTCTTTGCTGTAGTTGTGGTGCTAGTTTTTTCCAGACAGGTCTAAGTTTTCTTCCAGTAGTTGAAGGTAGTTGAAGGGAGTGTATAAACAGTAGAGGGAATGACTGTTTACATGGATTGATAATGATTTGATAAAAGGGAGGAATGGTTTCAAACTAAAGGGAGGTTTAGGTTAGATATCAGGAGGAAGTTTTTCACACAGAGGCTGGTGACACACTGGAACAGGTTGCCCAAGGAGGTTGTGGATGCCCCATCCCTGGAGGCATTCAAGGCCAGGCTGGATGTGGCTCTGGGCAGCCTGGTCTGGTGGTTGGTGACCCTGCACATAGCAGGGGGGTTGAAACGAGGTGATCATTGTGGTCCTTTTCAACCCAGGCCATTCCATGATTACTATAGTATGCATAAAGTAATAACGTAGCAGAGGACTTAATGTTTTTGCAAGAAGCAAGAATGTTTTAATAAATACATTTATAATGTAGCCTTTAATTTCATCCGAGGGAAGTTCACCATAGGAAGAACAGAAGATGGTATTTGACTAGCATTTATTATGAAGGATTTGTAACTCTTCCTATGAAGAGTACTGAGCCTGTGAAAGAAAACAGTGTTAAAATTGGGACCAAGTTTTCAAAGTGTAGTACAGCACAGAAGTAGCAGAATTGAAATTCTTCATTGTATGGAAAAATTGATTTTGCAATTACATGCTTTCCTTAGAACAATTTGACCATTACCGTATTGAGAAAAGTGTTTCCAAATAGTAACCCAACGAGGTTGTTGCTCAGGACACATCCTAAAGAATCACTTCTGAACAGAGTAATACAACTGTGCTATTTCCCCCAGTGAAAAACTTCATTTACTGTTTCTGCACAAATACAATGACAATGTTTTTGGGTTTCTTTTTTTTTTTTTCGTTGGAAATATTAAATTAAGTGTACTTTTGAGTTTTGAGTTGCAGCACAATAATACATACACTTCAATCACATAAGGATCCTATTGTACAATTGCATTTTCTTTTCATGCAATTTATCATATAAAGCGAGCAAATTTATTCCCTGAAATTACTGTTCGCTCTTAATCCTGAAGAGTCCTTAAAACTGTGGGCCAGATTTACTTTCAGTGTCCTTTTTTCCTAATTTTTGCCCTTGCTTAATACATGTGCTTTGATTCTTCAGAATTTGTAAAGCTGAGTGTTAATTATGTGGGTATTTACAGGCAATGAACATAATTATCTGCTGTGAGCAATTAAGGATAATAACTTCCTCATGTCTTTTTAGGCAGGCCCCAAACAGTGTTTTACTGAATCCTGAAGATGGTTGTGGAAGTGAATGCACAAGTTCTAGGCTTTCTGCAGAGCATGGTCTCAGTCTGTTAGAGACATCCAGTGCACGTCCATGGCTTTTGTGAACCTGAATGTTTCATGAGAATATGAAGTAGGGAAGAGTCTCCTTGAAGGTGTTGATATTTGATACAAGAAGAGAGAAACTTATGTCTGTTTGGAATTGTAGCTGGGTAGAAGACTGTTGGTTTGCTGAACTGCTGAGCTATGCCCCTTCAAACTGCTGAGGTAGTGCTAAAATGGGGAATTTCAGGCCCTGGAGTCCTGCTGCCTGTGCTCAGAAGTCTATTTGCTGCATACCACCTGTGCAGACGTAAGTTCCTTTTTGCAGAGAAAAAATTGTATTTTAACTTCAGCTACATCTGCTGCCCATTTGAGATTTTGATTGCCCTGCGGAGGTCTGTTTCCCGTGCTGGGGCATTTAAAGTCTTTAGTAGGTACTTCTAGTGCTTACCATAGTAGAAATTATAGAATCATGGAACCATAGAGTAGCTTGGGTTGGAAGGGACCCCAAGGATCATCAAGCTTCAACCCCCTGCTACATGCAGGATTGCCAGCTGCTAGATCAGTATTAGATCAGGCTGCCCACAGCCCCAACCAATCTGGCATTGAACATCTCTGGGGACAGAGCATCCACAGCCTCTCTGGGCAGCCTGTTCCAGCACGTCACCACTCTCTCAGTCACCACTCTCTCAGTAAAGAACTTATTTTAAAACCATCCCCCCTTGTCCTATCACTAATCTTACACTTACAGAGATAGAAGTCAATTTGCCTTTCCTGACTTGACTATCCTTCTTTTATTATTATTATATATTTTAAAAGAAATTAAACTATTCCTTATGTATGCTTTAAAATCTAAACCCACTGTTCCTGGCTGTTGAAATGTCCTGGACTGAAGACACACAACAAGCTTCATACCAATTTTGGTGCTACTTGTGAATGATTCTGCTGCTGAATCAGAAAGTGTGTGTTCATACCTGTATTGGCTTGTCTCAGGAAAAAAGTGAAAGGTCTGTCTGCTTTAAAAATAGGTGTTCGAGATCTTTTCAGTAGTAGCATTGCTGTAATGCAATTAAGAAAATATTAGTAAAATGCATCAATTTTCATTCCATCTTCTGTGCTGTGCCCTCAAAACTCAAACCCCAGAGCCTGAGATGCTGTTCTAAGAGTAAACCAGTGATTTTGTCCTGTAGAGAAATTGGTGGCGATGAATGAACAAGGCGTGTCGTGTGATTGTGAGCAGATGGGACACGTGCTTATTGCTGAGGTGAGTCAGTCTGGTTTGGATTGTGAAGGTAACAATTGTTGCTGTTGATACAGTGCTAACTCTGCCCAAGTCATGCTGTGCTGTTACCCTTAAGCCAATTCCTACCTGCTGTTCCAGTCAAAAGATGAGCAAGGCACAAATGTAATCCCCTCTTCTAAATGGGAAACAGCAAATAAATACTTACATCTTCCTGAAATCAGAGCTCACAGCAAAGACTGAGTATCTTCAAAGTGCTGCATGGGGGTGGTTAAATATTCTCTAAAATTATGATGGCTTAGAAGCAATTATAAGCCTTGTTCAAATCAACTCTTCCTTGCACCTATGTAGTATTGACTATATCGACAAAACTGAAAACTTGGATAATTGTAATGAGCATTTAAAGCAACAGAATTCAATTGAAAATTTGAATAAGGCTCTATACCATGAATTTGAGTGGGGGAAGATCTCCTGGAGAGCAGCCCTGCAGAGAAGGACCTGGGGGTCCTGGTAGACAAGAAGCTGGACATGAACCAGCAGTGTGCGCTTGCAGCCCAGAAGGCCAACTGTGTTCTGGGCTGCATTAAAAAAGGGGTGGCCAGCAGGGAGAGGAAGGTGATTGTCCCCCTGTATTTGGCTCTTGTGAGGCCCCAGCTGGAGTACTGCATCCAGGCCTGGGGCCCCCAGTACAAAAAGGACGTGGAGCTCTTAGAAAAGGTCCAGAGGAGGCATTAAGATGATCAGAGGGCTGGAGCACCTCTCCTATGAGGAAAGGTTGAGGGAACTGGGATTGTATAGTTTGGAAAAGAGAAGGCTCCGGGGAGACCTCATTGTGGCCTTCCAGTACTTGAAGGGAGTGTATAAACAGGAGGGGGAACGGCTGTTTACAAGGACGGATTGTGACAGGACAAGGGGAATGGTTTTAAACTGAGACAGGGGAGGTTTAGGTTAGATATTAGGAGGAAGCTTTTCACACAGAGGGTGGTGACGCACTGGAACAGGTTGCCCAAGGAGGTTGTGGATGCCCCATCCCTGGAGGCATTCAAGGCCAGGCTGGATGTGGCTCTGGGCAGCCTGGTCTGGTGGTTGGTGACCCTGCACATAGCAGGGGGATTGAAACGAGATGATCATTGTGGTTCTTTTCAACCCAGGCCATTCTATGATTCTATGAAAATATTAACACTGAAAATACTGATGCCCTTACAAAATGGAGATTAAAGGGACTTCAATATAGCTTGTGTGACTTCTTAATGTTATTTTTCTTTAAAGGAGATAGGGATTGCACAGCTCAGTTTCCCTGTTGTATGTTTATGTTGTGATGGAGGATTTCTAAGAAAATGTCATTCAGCTTACAGAGGTGAGTTATTGACTCTGTAGTCCAGAGCTGACATTTTACTTGGAATGTCCCTGCTGAACTGGTCCTCACTGCTCACATGGGAAGTGTCTGAGAAACAACTGTCCGTGCACAGATATCACTGTTCTGATGTTAGAAACAAGCCTAGGATACCTTGAAGAGGACAAAACTTTCACATCATGAACTTCCAAGGTACCAATGGGACTGTCTTCAGAAACAAATCCTGTCACAGTTTAGGAGCTATAGATGAACAGATAATAACCTCTTTAATTCTTTGATTTTTGAGATCCGAACAAAGAGATTGGTTTTGGGTGGTGCTGTGTCGAACTGAGTTGGACTCAGTGAACCTTGTGTGTCCTGTACAGCTCAGGATTTTATATGATTCTATTTAACCAACAGAAAAAGTGCTTTATTTTGTTAAACTGGATTTTTCCTGGGCTGGTAAAGTTGGATTTCACCTGCGTATTTGCATGTTAGTCTAACATCAAACGTGGAAAGGGAAGAGTTCCCATGTGCAATTACAAAGGTGAAATAGAAATGTTAAATACGAATGTTTGCATTTGGAGTGGGTGTGCTTCTAAATGCTGACATACTTTTGTGAAGCATTTTTGTGATGAGCAGTTGTTGCTGTAGTGACAAGCTCCAGGGGTGAGAAGTAACACTTATATGTATGATTTACCTGTAGCTCCTGAAGCCTTTGTGCCATCCTCTGTTACTTCAATCTTTGCATTGTGAATGGCTTCTGAAATATAAAGGCCAGCTTGCTCTGCAAAACAAACCAACCCAACAGGTGAATATTAGTAATGCTCTCATGCATTTTGTTGTGAACACCATTTTTATTTTATTAATTTATAATGCTTTTACCTTTTTTAATTTTTTTTTTTTCCACAGAATCTAGGGCTCTTAGGCTGAACCTAAACTGTGCTGAAGGTGAGCTGGGCCAGAGGATTTTTCATGCATGTGTCTGGTAGGGATAAATACAGACAGCCCAAACATCCGAGCCAGGTCTGTGTCAAGGACTTCTTTGCTCAGTCCATAGCTGAAATAACAGGGCTGTGGGGTTCCTTCCTTTCTTAAAAACGGGAGTGATGTTTCCCTTTTTCCAGACATTGCCTGACAGCCAGGACTTTTCAAACATGGTGGAGAGCATCTTGGCAACCATGTCAGTCAGCTCCCTTAGGACCCTGGGTTGCATGTCATCCAGCCCCATGGGCTTGTACACAATCAGCATCATGAGGCAGACTCAGTCTCTCTCTGCTCTTACAATGGGAGGGATTTTGCCTCCCACCCTGCCCCTCCACACACACACATGTAGAAGTTCAGGTGTGAGAAGCCTGACTGGCCATGAGGCAAATAATTCATTCAGTACCTCAGCCTCTTCTACCCAATGTATCTAAAGAATCCCTTGTGTTTTTTTCAGGCCCCTCCAGATGTTCAATACCATCTGTGCCTTAGCTTTCCTAGTCCTATCCCTGCACATCTGGACAGTGCCCCTATATTCTTCCCAGGCCATCCACGCCAATAGCAATATCAATAGATCGATTGAATGGGAATTTTGTTTTGGAGTTCACAGAGAAAGAAGTACAGTCAATACAGAACACCTGAGTCTACCGAATCTCTTTAATATTATCTGAGATAATACGTGATGGGTCAATGATCACTTTGTATTCATTCAAGCCTCTTACCTGAAATGCCTTTAAAATTAGCAGCGGTGGGATCAAATGCGTCTCTAATTCCCAAGGCAGAAAAAACTGTCTTTAGATCAAAAAGGCTTTGAATACTAAACCTGAAATTAAGATAAGAAATGTAATTTAAATGCAGGATTCATAGTTTCATAAAGCTAAAAGGTGAAATATGCAATTTACTTCAAGCCTTCGCACTTCATCTATTTCAGCGTGAGCCCAATGCTTTCTTCTTGATTAAGCACACTTTCCAGAGAAGCAACTGCTCTTCACTTGAAGATGTTAACAGCAAGAATCCCTCACCTCTCTCTATTGCAATCATACTGCCTCTCAATCTTCTTGACATGTGAACTTTGCGTATTCCTGAACGTGCTCTCTTTAACATTCTATTTGGCCGTAGCAAAAGGGCTCTTTGAATTGTATCCGAAAATTACCTTGGAGGAGATGAGTATTAATGTACAAATTGTTTTTCACGTGGAGAATGTATTGTGAGAGATACTTTCACATGGAGAGTATTGTGAATCAAAGTACCTAATTTGGTTCCGTCCTGCAGGTTGTGTGTGTCATTGCTATCACACGTAATTCTGGCAACAGGAGTAGTGAAGTCATCTCAGAGGAACAGGATTGCTTACCTAGGTAGAAAAATATCCATCTTCGTCCTCTTTAAGCTGCTGGACCAGAGTGTTATGGTTTTGGCAGAAAGATGAGACTCAATCTGGGACAAAGGTGTTCTTTTGTGGCTGGGAAGCACTATGAACATGCTGAGTTTCTCCCCTAGGTAGGGTAACTCAACAACACTGAAAGCATCCTGAGTTGCTGTCTGGAACTGACCTGTATTTATGTGAATATAGATCTTATGTCATCATTAAAGTAAAAAAGAAAACAACAGTCACACCTCAAAAAAACAAATGTGGGGAAGCCAGTGGTTCAGAACACCAGTGGACTGCAAGGAGTTGTCTGTGATGCATGGGCTCAGCTCAGATCGCCTATAGCTCACCACACCAGCTCATGTGAGCAGAGCTGATTGGCTGAAAAATAGTGTTTTGTAGCTGAGAATCTGCTCTATCAAATAGTGTTACTGTGCTATTTTTTATCCTTTGTAGTTTCCATGGAAATAATTAGGAGGCATTACTTTTGGAATATCCTATGTTTATTAGTAATGCAATGACAATAACATAATGGTGACAGTTCCTGCAATGCCTGTTCTTTGAATAAGCTTTCTTTTTTCCCTATGATTTCCCTCTAATATTTTTCACTAAAAATTAATTGCTGAAAGAAACAATTAAAAAAAAAAATGAGTATGCTACTTGATTAACTGAAACCTTCTTTTCCTTGTGTTTCCTTCTTTACTACCATTAAGAATGAGTTTTAATCTTATTTCAGGAGGCCAACAGCTACATTAAATGCTAAAATAGTTGGGCATACACTTACTGAGGCACCCAGTGTATTCATTTTGAAAAATGAAAAACCTATCAAAATCAGATGAAGGTTTTAAAAAACAGTCTCAAAGGTAAAAGCTGTTTGGCTTCCAACCTTGTAATTATTTAGACGTGCTGTAACAATGACTTTAATTCCATATTTCAATTAACAGATAATCAAAGCATTCTAATGGACTGTTACACAGAAGAAAAGATCACCTGTAAATCCAATGGATAGCATTTCAGGAACACACAGAATTAATTGTCAGAGAAAGAGTTAAATACAAGTTACAAGCAAATGAATTATTATTACCATTGCTGCAGACCATTCAAAATAACCTACTCCCTTCTCACTCAGCTGTAGTAGCTGTGTCTTATAGGGCAGATGTCAGTGTTTATAAAGAGTGGAATATATGTAGTTATTGTTCATCATACCTAAATATTTTCTCATAAACACAGAGATATAGAATGTCTTAAATGTTTTGTGTAAAATGTTTGCTAGTTTTGCAAATCTGGGTTAGATAGCATTCAGTGCATGCTGGTAGTTCTGCTTGAACCTAGGAATGTTAGATTCTTAGATCAGCCCTCCCACCATGCAGTCCTGAGAGGGAACTGCACTGGTAAAACCATCTCCCAGAACATGAGTTGTTTTGCTGGAAAAAAACTCTCTTCTGGTTTGCAGAGAGGATCTGTGTTTGTTCTGCACAGAATGGGAGTGGTTTAATTCATGGACATGATGATATTTTGAAGTCTGTTATGTCTACAGAGGTTATACAGACCTTATTTGTTAATTAAAAAGAAAACTAAAGACTTGGTATGATTGAGTTGGGATGTTTCGTCTTCCTCGCTTGGACTGATTTTGAGCATCCCATAGGAATGGTACACAGCTAAATTAGTATTCAAATATAGTTAACAAATTGCTTGGAAAAAAAGAACATATAATATAGCTGCAGTATCTAACGGTGTTGCACAAATAGGAATCTTGACACTTTCTTAGCAGCATTGATAGTTACCAGGCTGATTTGTTCTGCATGGCCACATTAAAAGGATAAAAAAAGTAAATGCTAGATCAGTATTGTCCATAGCTAAACTTTCTTGATCTTTGTTTTGGATCCTGGTGGTGGACAGCTGCAATAATTTGATAATGAAGGAAAGTTATCTCAGGTCTCTGTTTTTTGTAGTAGACCAGTCCCTGGCCGGGCCCTGGAGCATGACCAGGGAAGGACAACAAAGCTGTGAAGGGTCTGGAACATAAGTCTTATGGGGAGCAGCTGAGGGAACTGGCATGGTTCAGTGTGGAGAAAAGGAAGCTCAGGGGAGTCCCTATCACTATAACTGCTTGAAAGGAGGTTGTGGTGAGGTGGAGGCACCAGGAGAAACTTAGGTTGGATATTAGGAGAAATTTATTCTCAGAAAGAGTAGTGAGGTATTGGAACAGTCTGCTTGGGGAGGTGGTGGAGTCACTGTCCCTGGAGGTGTTCAAGAAAAGAGTGTATATAACACTGATGGACATAGTTAGTGGGTGTGGTGGGGATGGGCTGGTGCTTGGATGAGATGATTCTATGAATTAATGACTTCTAAACAAATTAGTCAGAAATATCTGTAGCATTTCTAATAACAAAGAATTTGGCTCAGACATTTTAGACTTCTCATTTATGTCTCATCCCACTAAAAGTTCAGAGAAAAAGCTTGCTCCTGAGCTGACAGGTATGTGTTAGTCCCCAGAAACCCATTGTGTCTAACTGGATAGCTAACAAAGGAGCAAAGAGTGATGTAGTTTTAGACTACATGAGCAGCCATGCAGTTAGCTGGGGATACAGCATCACCCAGGGCTGATGTAGTAGTTTACACTGCTCAGTGATGAGGATGAGGAGGCACTTGGTTTTGGAAAAGGAAATTCTGCATTCGAAATTGAAGTTAATTCCCTTCTAAAAGAGTTGAATGCACCAGAGGAATGAGAGCTCTCCAAGCAGAAGTGTGAGTGTGTTCAGGAACGGGCGATCCTCTTAGGAGAAAGAAGTGTGTTGGACACACCACGGGTTTTCTTGAAGAGGAAATACCACAGGCAAAGCCACAGCAATACAGGCAAACTTGCAAAGTGGAAAAGAATGATTCCTCAGACAGGTGGGTTCCGAGATAAAGAGCTGTAGAAATAATGAATGGCCAACTGCCTGCTTGATGTGACAAGAAAAGGAAACTGTTTTAGCTGTGGAAACAAGAAAAAAAGGAAGAAAGAATGGTGCAGCTGAATACTGAATTCTTCTTCTTCTTCTTTTTTTTTAATTTATCTCCAATTATTTGCTGGAAATAATGGGAAAGGATTAGCTTGATGATAAATTACTGAATAACAGAGAGGTACCTAATGGGAATGAGGAAAGAACAAGAAGACTTGCAATGCCAGAGATGCAAATGAAATTTGACCTACTTCAGGGAGACAAATCTGGGTCTTGAGTAGTTACCACTTTAGATTTCAAAGAGAATGAATGTGAAAATTGAAAGTGTGTTAGCAAAGATTTTCCAGAAACCTGTAGAGTCAGAGTCTGCATCTCTAGATGAGAGTTTAGAAAGCAGAAGTGTATTTATAAAGAAAAATAAAGTGGTCCGGGAAATTTTAGGTCTTCATTTGAAAAACTTCAGAATATTCCCTGGAGAAACAAATGGACAAGTCAAAGAAGGACACAGAAAGTGAGATAAACTGGAACATCAGGTAGGTCCTAGTATCTTTTTGGTTGGGTAATTGATTTGGTAAAAAGGCACAGATCCAGCCATCTGATTTTAAGGTAAAACATTAGACACAGATTCATTATGGCACTATTAACAGCTAGAAGTGATGGTAGCTAGAACCACAAATGAAAGATAGAATGCACCTGCTTGAAGAGCAGATTAAAATGAGTCAAGATGAAAGTGGTGTTCCCGTGTTGAAAAGAGTTCAAAGCATTGCAAATACTGAAGAATTTCATAAAAAATAGACAGTGAGGTTACCTTGATGACCAGGATGATGGAAATCCTATAATGTCCAAGAAGCCAGCACAAATAGGCATGCATTTATTAAGATTTCCTTGCCCCTAATTTACCTGTGACTCATCAGCTGAAAGAAAAAATGGAACGTTGGGAGAACAGAACAGGTAGGGTACAGCTTGAGTAACCACTCAATGCGCTAAACAGTGCATTTTAGCAAAGACAGAAATTCTAAGAGCAAAATACCAAGTGTGTATATGACCCATTACAATTATGATATAAATTTCTTATCCCTTACTTTCAAGGAAAATAAACTTGAATTGGGAAAGTACATAACAGAACTCCTAGAGTATCTATTTAATGAAAAGACTAGATGAGCCTGGCATCTTCATTTTAACCAATCTCATTATTTACTCATAAATATGTTTAGGACTAAATATCAAAGCTGAAATAAACTATTTAAGTTGAAAGACATGTCTTGCACAGTACTAAGATATAAATTTGTCTTGAAGAAATTTAGACTTGGAATTAGAAAGATTTTATCCAAGTGAAGCTTGCAAATTTAGGGCAGAAGGGAAAGAAGCTTTTTATATTAAAACAGGTTGTAGATTTCCTGGTGGTTGAAAATTAAGCCTACTGCATGAGTTGTTGTGTCACAGCCCATATACTTCAAACCTTTGAAAGGAGAATACTAACTTTATGAATCTGGAATGAGAGCAGTTACCGTAGTTAACTTCAGCTGTGTGATGCATCGTGGGCACTTTCAGGGTTGAGCTCTCTGCCGTGGTAAAAGGCAAGATCTGGGTATCCATAAAGGAAAACTTCTTCAGCCACGTGCTCTTGAAGTACATGGTGCTCACCACAGCAACCCGGCTGAGCGGTGACACGGCTTCCTCAGAAGGCACAGCATGCACATCCCTGTCTGCAAGGGAGAGAGATGGACAGGGAGACGTGGGCTGTCCTGCTCCTGCAGGAAATAAAGCAAACCAGGCCTGCCCACCAGCCCAGACAGCAAGAAACATAGTACAGTTTGGTAGGTGGAACTCCTCAAGATTGCCTGATGGTCAAATTTATCAATGCTGAAGGTCAATGCCATGCCAAAATTGTGCTACTCCCTGCACAGTGTGAATTGAATGAAGGCAGACAAATGTCCTGGTCCTAACTGATTTTCTCACATAAACATGCCAGGATGTATTTTGCTGTCTTTCATCTTAAGATCCAGAAATTCCTAATGTAATCAACCCATGATTACAGATCTCCTGATGAAGTAACTAAGTCATCTGTATTCCATGGCCTAATTCTTCCCCTCCCTAATTTAATTAGTAGTTCACTTTGATCTGCTTTGGGCATCTCAGAGTCCTGAAGGTGTGATTCACTTTTAATTTATTACATACAACTCTCTGGAAGGAAGTTGTAGTGAGGTGAGGTCAACCTCCTCTCCCAGGTAAAACTGATAGGGCAAGAGAGAATAGCCTTAAGTTGCACCAAGGGAGGTTCAGATTAGATATTATGAAAAATTTCTTCTCAGGAAGAGTGGTGAGGCAGTGACACAGGCTGCCCAGGGAGGTGGTGGACTCACCATCTCTGGAGGTGTTCAAGGAAAGAGTGAATATAGCAATGAGGGACATGATTAGCAGGCGTGATGAGGAAGGGATGGTGGTTGGACGAGATGATTTTTGTGGTCTTTTCCAACTTTAGTAGTTCTATAATTCTATGATGCTCATGTGAATACCACAACACGGACTCCCATTTTAGTGTCTCCTTCTAGAGCAACAGTTTCTTATTGTGAAGTTGGATCAATTATTACAGCTCATTTAAGAAGCATAGATTTTTTTTGGAGTAGCAACTTTAATGTGTATGTTCAACATCACATTATGTATTAATGCCCAAATTAACACTCAAGTAATTTAAGTTGATGGGGCAGATCGGGGATTTATTTTGTATACTGCTTCTAAGGACTTGCTTTTTTATTTTTATTTTTATTTTTTTTTCATTTTCATTTACATTTAATTTCACTACCTTTCTTACTTATGTGGAGCTCTTTTCATTTTCTATTTTGACTTTTTAACTTCAGAGTCTGGCTTACAGCCCTCCATGGTCCCCACCACAGCATGAAAGCGCTCTGTGCAGCAAGCTTGGTCTCAGGGGAGTTTGGCTGCTCCTCGTTAAAACTGAGAGCACTGAAAAGGATTCCCATTTTAAAAATTAGAGGAATAAAGCCAAGGAGTTTATGGCTTGATATTGCAAACTTACAGTCAGAGATTCAGACTTATTCTGGCTCCTTCCTCCCATTAGAAATGAGCAACAGCACAAGAGTGAGATTTCCTGGCTGTTAATCTTAGAATCACAGAATCATAGAATCATAGAATGGTTTGGGTTGAAAGGAACCACAATGATCATCTAGTTTCAACCACCCTGCTATGTGCAGGGTCACCAACCACCAGACCAGGCTGCCCAGAGCCACATCCAGCCTGGCCTTGAATGCCTCCAGGGATGGGGCATCCACAACCTCCTTGGGCAACCTGTTCCAGTGCATCACCACCCTCTGTGTAAAAAACTTCCTCATAGTATCTAACCTAAATCTCCCCTGTCTCAGTTTCAAACCATTCCCCCTTGTCCTGTCACAATCCACCCTTGTAAACAGCCATTCCCCCTCCTGTTTATATGCTCCCTTCAAGTACTGGAAGGCCACAATGAAGTCTCCCCAGAGCCTTCTCTTCTCCAAGCTAAGAGTCTTGGTTTGAGCAAGGTGGAGTGTGGCAAAAAGCTTTATTCTTGATTAAATGCATGTTCTCTCATTAATCTTATTTTACATTTTATTCATGTGCAATCATTCTCATGGGTTGCTACACTACCTGCGAGGTTACCGGTGATCCACCCCTGTATCTGGGCTGCAGTTTGGTTGGGGTCGGTGAAGTTGGCTTGCTGAAGGCTGCTGTTGGCCCAGTGCACGACACGTGCAGCAAAGTGGGGTGAGAGCTGCACACCAGAGTGCATGAAGAGGGAGCATGCCAGCTGCACCACAGCACCCTGGCCAGAGTCAGCTGCTCCTTCGTACACCTTGTGCAACATATCCTGCACGCTTTGATCTGCCAGGGGAGAGAGAAGGAACAACTGCAATTATTATGTTGAAGCATCAGATCTCAGGGGCTCTGAGCAATATTGCTGGCACCACTGTCCTTTGAAAGTCAAAGCACTTTCACAGCTGAAGTAACTTGACGTGATGGGGTATTCCTGTAGAGCATAATGACACAATGGGCATAGAAAAGTCTTCTTTGTGCTGCTGTAGGAGTCACTCTAATGCAGATACGTCAAGTGGCTGACACAATCTCATGATCACACTTTTATGTATGTGAATATAGCTCTTATGGTTCATAAGGAATGTTATTCATTTGGGGCATCCTCTGAGTTCTCATTTGTGAGACTGAGCACTTCCAGCAGTGACTGGCTGAGCTGCTTTTGGTACAGTACTGACATACATCTCTTTCTCATGCCATCAGTGGTTCCACCCATCCCAGGAATCATAGAATCATAGAATCATTCAAGTTGGAAAAGACCTTGAAGATCATTGAGTCCAACCACAACCTGACCATACTACCCTAACTGTAACAACCCTCCACTAAATCATGTCCCTGAGTACCACATCCAAACGGCTTTTAAACACATTCAGGGATGGTAACTTGATCACCTCCCTGGGGAGCCTATTCCAGTGCTTAACAGCCCTTTCTGCAAAGAAGTGTTTCCTAATATCCAACCTAAGGAACAGGAATATCCAACCTAGGAATAGTATCTCCCTGTCTGCTCCAGCTCTGTCTGCTACTCTTAACCCTTCAGTTTCGAAGGACACTGCCCAAAACTGATGCTGTATTGTATATAAGGCCTGACAATGCTAAACAGAGTTGATGTGTTTCTTGATGTCTGTTACAAGTAACTCTTCTTATACAAATGACAATAACTTCTGTTCTTTTTGAATTACAAATATATTTTTCATTCAGTATTTTTCTTTAAATTTTAATTTTTATGAGCCATCCAATCCTTTTATAAAAAACAGCTCATTAGCTCACAGTTTCTTGACTTGAACAGCTGATTGCTCCTTCTAAATGCAGAATTTTGAGTTATCCTTACTGAATGATGTCCTATTCATTTCACACAATTCTCTGATTTGCTAAGATCCTTTTAAATTTTAATCTGCCCTTCAAAAATGCTTGTAGAAACTACGAATATTCAAAGATTCAATAATGTAGTGGATTGACTAAAATACTAATGAAAACAGCAGAACAGTGCCCCAGTCTCCAGTTACTGGGGAACTCATGGTGGGCCAGCATTGGTGGTTGCTGTGATGGATACAAGGTTATGTTGTAAGCCCAGCAAAGATGTAAGTCTTCCAAACTTAGGAGGATCATGTGTTTCTAAAATCACAAAATTTATAACAGGCTTCCCCAAGGAGTGATTTAACAATTGTTTTTCTTGGCATTAATTTGCTTACTCTAATAGTTTGTGATGAGACAAAGTGACTGCCTGAGGCTCAGCACTTGCACCTAGTCTGAGCAATGTTGATGGTTTCCATGTTACCTCAGACTTCCCAGGTGTGTGGATCAGCCCCTTTCCTATAGCCCTTGGAGAAGACTTACCTACATCCACCCAATAACAGCCTTTAGACTTTTTCACTTCCCTGTAGGAAGCTTCCTTCAGGTTGTTCTTCCTATAAGTAAGCCTGCCTCAAGGAGTACAGCTCTGCTGTCCTTCAGCAAGACACCACTGCCTCTTAGCTCTGTGGGTTCAACAGGGTCTTTCTGATTTCCCTAGGTGGAAAGTCATCACATGTCTTAATCTCTGTCTGAAAGCTCAGCAATTCACTGTTATGTACAAATTATTGGCCACCATCTTCAGGGAGATAAGTACTGCACTCCATGCTTCTTTGGAGTGCTGCAATCAGCTCCGGTGCTATTCTGCCTTGGCCAAACACCTGGGGAACTCTGGGCACAGTGTGGCTCACTGTTATGGTCCTGGTTAGAAATATTTTTGACCCCAGGGAGACTGTTGAAGGAAGTCCTCAGTTTCCCATAGGCAGCACTGAGGGAAGGCAGATTTGGACATGAGTGATTTGGGGCAGGTAATCAGCAAGAATTTTGGTGGGCTGGATCCATCCTGCTTTTACTGACCTGCCCCAGGCTGAGCATCAAGCCAAAGGTAAGGTCACTGTGACACTCCAGCTCCCAGCCAGGTCCCTCACCTCATCAGGAGACTACTACAGCATCATACAGATTTTTGCTGAGCTAAAGAGAAATTTTAATGTCTTCATGTCTTCCTATTTCTACCACCCAAGAATCCAGTGTGTGGGTTTTCTAACCTAGCAGTGCTCCTCTAATAACCTACAGGGAGACTGATCACCTCTATGAAGACTGGTATTAAAGCTTAGATCTATTACTCTTGAATGGATAAAATATTGAACTCCTTGAACAGATGTCAAGAAAACTCACACAGTTTGAGGTGTAAAGTGCTTTTCTTGTGTGTTTTGCATTAGTGTGGGAGCATTTGGCAGGCTCTCTGGAGGACGAAAGAAATCAAAGATGGTAAATTGGAAGCAGATGTTAATGTGAGGTGTGGTGTCCTGAGCTTGGAATTTCAGTCATATCAAAGCACTTAGCTAACCAAAGTCCTGAATTCTTACTCAGAAAGCAGTTCAAAATTACTTTAAAATACTCTACCATGGATCAAATAAAACAGCAAGGAGAAAACATTTTTAAGTGTATTATTTCACATATTTTTTTTTTCAAGACATCCCTTTAAACACCACTTTTCTTAGTTTTAGAATAAAGGTGAATCAATCTTCCAAGTGTTAAAAGAAGATTACGGGTGCACGTAAGAGCCGATTCTCTGTGAATGAACCACCAATGCTTTCACTGTTTTTAGTCTGCCAAGATTTTAACCACATCCTTCATTATTGCGAAAGAAGGACCAACTAAAACATGAATGCAAATATCTAGTGGAAAAACAGAATATCATAGAATCATAGAATGGCCAGGGTTGAAAAGGAGCACAATGATCATCTCGTTTCAAACCCCTGCTATGTGCAGGGTCACCAACCACCAGACCAGGCTGCCCAGAGCCACATCCAGCCTGGCCTTGAATGCCTCCAGGGATGGGGCATCCACAACCTCCTTGGGCAACCTGTTCCAGTGTGTCACCACCCTCTGTATATATATATGTATATATATATATGCTTTTACTCATATGAAATCTGGGCTAAGTACTTATTTATTAGATGTAAACCATTGGAGGACATGATTTCTTTCTCCCCCACTATAAACGTGTTATCATGAATAATAACAATGGATCCCATTCTAATTTCTTCTCACATTCATACATTAATATTGCTAAAAGCCTCAATGCACATGGCTAATGCCATAAACTAGAGAGAAATTAAAGTAGAGATAGAATGTCTGGTTGATATTCTGCGACATACGAAAAGGAGGACAGTGCAAAAGAGCCACCAGGTCATTAATAACATCTATACTGCTCTTAGTTATTATCTTGTGTGGAGATTTGTGCCTGAATTTCAATGTGCAATATTCTCTCTAACTTAATATTCTCTCCTTAATAATTGAATCTTGATGCAACAAAAAGCATGGCAATTTCTGAGGTAAAATCCCTGTCTGAACTAATGCTGTTTAAAATCACCCTACCAAATTTACAGAAAGTGTATCAGCCAGAATTAGTTTGTACTGCTATATTGGTTTTGAATAGCAATGATATGGAGAATGGCAGTACAGGACAGTGAAATTACTGTCGGTTTTATCTTTAGTTTTCATATGCTGAAAGTAAATTTTATGCTGAGAAATAATAGTGTTATCTCTTTACATAAGTCTTGTATATAAGCTGCAAATTTTGAAGATGAGACAGCCATCTACTTCTTATAAACACTGTGCCTATAATGTCAAACAGTTTTGGACATGTGATGTGAGATGGTAAGATAATCCACAATTAAAATGAAAACAACATCCTTAAATTCAGCTGATTCATGCCGGCTTGTAAGATATCTGCCTTTTCCATATCTCTTCCCAGAGAGCCTTTTATTTTAGCCTGCTTTCATGGAAAGATGTAATTGTGCCATCCACCTGTCCATACAACTCATTTCTTGCCAGTCACCTTCTGCTAAATTTTCTTCTAATTTTTTTCCTAGAAGATGAAAATTTTCATCTTTTCAGCCAGTTATAATAACACACAAGGATAAAGGCATAAGTCCTAAAGATAATTCAGTTTCTCAATTTGAGATTAGGGTAGGAGATAAAATGACTGCTGTCTCCTTGCATCTCCTTGCAGAGGATGCAGTGGAGGCCAGCTCCCAACGGGCACCACGAAGCCCTGGGGAACCAAGGTCAGTTTTGCTGTTCATGGAAGTACCTTCTCTAGGAGCAGTTGTACTTCAGTGAAAGAGTAAGCAGTACTTGAAAAGAAGGAATAATAATGTGTGTACCTTCTACTGAGTGTCCTCAGATACCTGCCCATCAAATCCAGAGAAAACACTTCCAAGTTATGTTTTTGCAGTGAGGTAGAAAAAAATAGTTCATGAGACATGTACAATTGTCATCTCCTTAGTAAGGCTTTCCTGCAAAACATAGGGAAATTATATTATTTTAATGCGGTACATTACCATGAACGTTGTATCCTAGAGCATCCTGCAGCTCCATGAAGGTATTCCCTTGAGCTCCAAACTGCAGCAGCTCCAAAGAAATGGCCACACCTGCTGGGGAAATGACCAAGTTGGTTCTGTTCTCTGCTTCAGAGGCATGGCGGTAGAGATTGATTGCAAATTCAATCTTCAGATCTTTTAGCTCATCATAGGAGATGCAGTTGCCTTTGGTTAAGCACCAAGTAAGGATGAATGCAAAGAAGACAATGGGCAACATGAAGGTGAGCTGAGAATGCACTCCACCAGATAGTCATACCTGCAATTAATAATAGAGATACTTAGACAATTCATGATACCTGCTAAAGCACCTCCCCATATCTAGTCAGTAGCGGTTGCCATTAAAAGATAAGGTGTAGGGACACACTGACTGTTGTTGGCTAACAAGAATCAAGCTTTTCTAGTATGCTGTACCCACATAGGATGGTTGGTCAGTGCAGCACATGGAGACACAATGCTCCTTAATTAATAAAACAGTGACCTGCACTCTGAAGGGATCCCTCTGTGAAAGCTCTGTGCTCTCCATGCTGCCCAGCACTCCCAGCTCCTTTCCATCCCCAGCAGAAAGGAGTCACTTCCAGCACTCCCCAAAGGAAGCCCACCCCTCAACAGGTGCAGGTGTTCAGCTGCAGGCTCCAGCCTGGAGGTTTCATTCATGATTGCAAAAGGATGCCTTCAAATTTCCCACCCAGATATTCCTCCTATGCAGTTCATACTAAGGAATAAATGGTTGCATTTGCAAAAGGCTGTAGTGCCTGCAGCACAAAATCACTGCTTTGGAATTTTATGGGAAATCAAGAATTTGTTCACATTATATTAAGAGACACTTAGATTTGTATTTAAAGGAAAAATGGTAAAACAACAAAACAGGTTCTTTCTTTTTGCAGAATTTCACCTTTTGAACAACGTATGCAAATACTTAAGGAAACACTGCACCTTCTTTCACTTGAGGATTTCCTACAAATCTTTCTCCGTGCCCTTTGCTCTAGAGATCACCTCTAATTCTTTGCATTTACTCACAGTTAGCTCTGTTAAATTGTCTTGCCTTTCTGAGTCCTTCTGGGTGTCTGAATTGAAGCTGTCTACGTACGCCTTGTCTCCTTCTTTAATAGGTAGTGGAGTAAAGACTAAGTCATGAGACTGCATTTAAAGGGATAGTCAGTGATCAGAGTCTCTGTCGGCGATGTCTGTACCACTCTGTCCAAATTCCTGTAGGCTACAAGCTCTATAGAGAGCCAGGCAAAGCAGCATGCCACTGACCAGCAAATCCAAGGCAAGGAACAAAAAGGTACACATGGAGATAGAGCCAACAACTGCCTTCCAAGCACTGCCCCAGCCTCATGAGGCTTGTGACCTGCTGGTACCGAGCAAGGCATCTCCTATCTCTCTTCCCACCCCCTCCTGCTTTTATATGAATTCCATTGATTCCTCTGCCACAAAGGGGAAGAGAAAGGGCTCACTGTGTACCAGGCACGTAGCTACTTTTTCCCTCTATTTTGAAATCTTATTCAGAAATCCCATGCAATTAAAATGTCTTTATTTGCCCTTTTTTTTTTTTCTTTTTTTTTTTTTTAATGCCATCCCAAAGAGGAAAATTTTCATTCACTCTTTAGTTTCCGGAGGGAAAGAAACAACAAAGTGGTGCCTTAAAGGGGAGGAAATGAGGATGGGGTTGCTTTGAAATGAACCAGGAGCAGAACAGCTGTGGTGGAGACCACTCCAAAGATCACTTTAAACAGAGTTTCAGTGGTTCATGGCTTTCTTCATGTGACAGAATCAAACCCTGCTCATCATCCACAGGTTCAGCCTCACAGCCTCCTCACAGCCACACAAGGTTGCAGTCTAGAAGCATTCGTAAAGCTGCAGCTCGATGAACTTCATGGTGTTTGACATTATACAGATACCTGGTTATCTTAAACTGTACAACTCTGTTGCATCTGGGAAAGAAATCACAAGGATAAAGGTCACTACAACCAAAAAATAGCTTTTAAGCCCTGCTGTTCCACCTTTAGCAGCGGAGGGGCAGTGACTCGATTGAATTAGGGCCCAAATGAGAACAACAACAATGATCCTCCTTTTCTGCTCTTGTGTTGATCCTCTCCTGCTGCTTTTAGAAAGTGACAGAATAGGTCCTGGTACAGAGAGCTGCCTCAGGATCCAGCGATTTGCACCACATTCCTGTTAGGATAGGTGGAGAGCATGAGTTTGGCAAGTCCCAAGTTAGGACCACAGGCATGGTTGTAGGTTTTGCCATCGAAATCAATGGCAGTATTCTCATACTGAAAAGTGCACTTGAACCTAAGAGTTTTGCTGAAAGAAGATCTCCCTGTTGAAGTTGCTAATGGTGCCATTGGGCTGGAGATGTACTCAAAGGGAATTAAGCTGAGAATTTACTTGTGTCCTAGCTTAGGCATCATTTCCTTCTCTGAGTCTTCATCTGGATAAGAATCACGAGGTCCTGAGGAAACTATTGATAAATTCTGTCTTTGAAAAAATGGAACAGCTTATGTTTAAGAAAGTAATTGATTTGTCCCCGCTCCTCAGGGACAGAAAGAGGAAAAGAAAGCTGTCTTTTGAGGGTTGCTTCTTGACACTGAGATGACTTAAGCTGCCTCTGAGAGCAGTGAGGAAAGGCACAGACTGGAGTTGTGTGGAGAAGACAAGGCACAGTGGTGCTCGGATGGCAATCTGGAACATGTATACTGTGGGTGAGGGAGATGCCTATGGACTCTTTTTCCCCAGTTGCCTCTCCTACAAAATTGGAGTTTTCTATGGTGTAATATTTGTGCTCTAGGAAAACTGATTCTAGCTGTTGCTAGACTACTTAGAAGAGAGGGGCAGCAGTTCTGCTTTTAGGCTCCGGTCAACTTGGGCTCCTGCTGCACTGACTTTACATAGCAATTCAGGGCAGAATATAGCCCACAGACAGGCTGCATGAAGCAGATGTTCCTCTTCAGAACCCCTCATTTGCTTTCTTGTACCGGGGGAGTCTCCAGCAATCTTCCTTTCACTCCAGCACAACCCTGGTATCAGCAGAACTACTGTACTTCACCCCCTTTGTAAATGAGAATAAGATTTAGCCTTTAATCAGTGCCATTTTTTTGTGCTTGCACTCTTTAAAATATATAACCCTTGGGAAATTAAACTAAATCCAAACCAGCTTGCCTCCTGCTTACATCTCTGATGCACTAGAGAGCTCTCACTGCAAGATACACACACACTTGCTCAATTAGGAAGGAGGTTGTGCTGAATTTCAGGATAAGAATAATCTGCATCATCTTTTCAGAATACAGAGTTTATTCTGTGGGGAGGTGGTTAGCTACAGAGCCTCAAAACACCGAGCTGAGCAAGTTCAGGTGAATTTGTTTACTGCTATCCACATGCCACATAAAAACAACCACTGCCTTTGCCTCCTGCACTGCTCCCCTGTTGGGGCTTGAAGACAAAACCTGGCTTTTCAAAGGGTGACCATTGCAGACGTTCTCTTTCAGAGAAGCTCAGCAGAACAAAGTGTGTTTTCATTTTCCTGTATCTCTACTGCTGTGAGTAGAGCAGCAGAGCAGTGATTTTATAGCACAATGTTGAGGTTTGAAGCTTTCTTCTCTGCGAGAAGCCCAAGAGCTCACGGGTGCCCTGTGGGGTGTGAGGGCTGATGGGCTAGCATTGGAAGACTGGTGCTAGAAGCTCTGTTTGGGAAAAGCAATGCATGAGCTTCAAAGAGATGATCTCAGCAGTTCAGCATCCTGCTTCATATACATTTTCTGCAGTGCTATATGAAGACCTTAGCAGTAGAGCCTGTTCCATGTAGACTCTAAATACAGTACAATGGAATCACACAATCAAAGAATAACTTGAGTTGGAAGACTCGAGACCACCCACTTCCAACCCCCTGCCCTGGGCAGTGCCACCCAGCAGCTCAGGCTGCCCAGGGCCCCATCCAACCCAGCCTTGAGTGCCTCCAGGCACTCACAGCTTCCCTGGGCAGCTGTGCCAGGGCCTCACCTCCCTCTGAGTAAAGAATTTCCTCTTAACATCTAACCTATATCTCTCCTGTTTTAGTCTAAAATAATTCACCATTGTCCTGTCACTACCTACCCATCTAAATAAACATTTTCTCTCTTGTTTATAAGCTCCTAGTAAGTACTGGAAGGTCACAATGAGATCTCTCTGGTTTTCACTTCTTTAGGCTGACAAGCCCAACTTTCTCAGCCTTTCTCCATAGAAGAGGTGCTCCAACCCTCTGATCTGGTGGCCCTCCTCTTGACCCGATCTCACATCTTGTTCTTGCACTGGGGCCCCAAGACTGGTTGCAGTACTACAGATGGGGCCTCAAGAGAGCAGAGAAGAGGGGGACAATCCCCTCCCTCTCCCTGCTGCTACCCCTCTTCTGATGCAGCCCAGGATGCTGTTGGCCTTCCAGGCTGCAAGTGCACACTGCTGGCTTATGTCCAGCTTTTCATCCACCAGGACCTACAAGTGCTTCTCAGCAGGGCTACTCTCAGTGAGTTCCTCTCACAGTCCATACACATATCTGGGATTGCCCTGACTTGAGTGCAACACCTGGCACTTGGCCTTGCTGAATCTCATTAAGTTAATGTGCACCCACTTTTTGAGAGTGTCCAGTTCCCTTTGGATGGCATCCCTTCCTTCTACTGTGTCAACTGCACCGCTCAGCTTGGTGTCATCCACAAACTTGCTGAGGGTATTCTTGATCCCACTGTCTATGACATTGATAAAGGCACTGAAGAAAACCAGTCCCAAGATGGACCCCTGGAGGACACCACTCATACCTGGACATAGAGACAACCCTCTGGCTGTGACAATATAAGAGTCTTATGACTCTTCCTCTGTGGCCAGCTGACTGTGATGGTTGTGGTCAGAAATCAACTCCTTTGCTGTCTGCAGGAGTTCAGAGGTGCTGCATCAGCATGTACAGAGTTTACTTGTAAGTCTGTGAAATGTCACCTCTGCCCTGAACTGTTGCCCTTTTGGTATCTGTATACTTAGAGCGCATGAGGGAGGGAGATAGTCCCAGCACCAGGGGCTGGTAGAAATTCACACTCAGATAAGACAAGCCAGTGAGCCATAAGCAGAGCTGGGGAGCAACATGGTGGCACATTTTTCTCCCAGCTGGCTATCTGAGCTGGCAACTTAAATATATTTGCTGTTGACAGGGAATAGAAAGTGTGGTAAAAGCTGATTTGAATTCAGATACCTCCCCTCCCCCCCAAATGCTTATCTGACTATT